AWWWTTCACATTTATTGCAAGCTTAGTGGTTTTCTTTATTCGTTGCAAAGGTTGCCATAGCATCACTTAAATAAWTAAAGTCTTTTATTTTGAGAGGGTAGCACGTAATAGTCTCTAGACTAATAAACTTGTGGCCATCTATATATTCACTCATACATGTACTTGCTACCTCAACATTCATTATTTTACTACACGACACTCCTCACAGCTAGTTTTTTACTGAGGGAGAAAAAACCCTTGGAGCAAGGAAGAGAACCAGCCTACMAACTTGCAATTAGATGCACTCTTGGCAATCTGTGTTTTTGCTGCTAAGGGTGCAATAAACTATCTACAAATATTATCCATAGAAGGAGAGAATCCTCTAGTATCAGTTTTTTTACTGCTAATGTATATTATTCTTTGCAATATTACTAGAATAACTGCGCAATGCATTGCACTGAGAAGTCACTCAAAGTAATTCAAAGAGTTGGTGTACGACTACAAGAGGTACAAATCATGCAAAATGAAGCATTAATGGCAGGACAGGCACCTTAAAAAACAGTTGGATTTAATTAAACAAAAACAATCAAGGACAAAAGATATTTGATGCTGGTTATCCATGGAAAAGATATATACTACTGTATTTTCAAAATGGACGATTTTTGATAATGATGAATGACAATCAGCAAAGACATGAATGGCCATCAGAAGGAAATAGTTTCATCTGTGTTTCACATGCTGATTGCCACACGTCTAAAAACTGATCCCTTTTGGAATGGCTTTTTTTATGGTTCTTATGTGATTTCTTTTTTAGGCAAAATTAATAAAAGGAAAGTGTAATTTGTTCCTGTTGTAAAACTCATTATGTATTCATAGATAAGCACGTGACCATTAGTGTGAGAGTGTGTGTGGAACAGCACATGGTTTGCGAGTGAAGCAATGGTCAGATGTACCGTGTTGTGTTTGATTAAAACCGTTAAACCCGACGTCAAAATGTCCAGTTAATTGTGCACAACATTCCTATTGTTTCATAAAAAATAAAGCTGTATTCATATTAAACAACCTACAATTGCTTCTTCTCAATATAATTGGTGTTTATTTTTCCTCAAAAATAGGAGATTTTCTTTTTTATTTGACATTGTTTTAGACATTCTGTATAAATCTAATTTTAGAGCTACATCAGCTGTCCTATCAGCCCTCTTGCGATTGTATACTAGAGCTACTTTTAAAATCATTTCAAGTGAATAATAATGATAACGGTTAAGTTTCCATCCTGAATGGTATTACATGTATGTGTCTTTTATTGACTGTGAGAAGGAAACACTTATATAGAGTTCATGCTTGTTGATATAGAAGGAAAGAGCATGAGGAATACTACTATATTGAAAAATTGCACTATAAAGATGAGATCTGATACAAGTGACTTTTGTTCACTAAAAATTTAATGCCATACAATGCAGTGACGTAATACACATTGATATAAACATACATTGAGTAATGCTATACTTTGTCAATATTTTTTATAAAAAATAAATTACTATATCACCTCTTGTGATGATAGTTTTTTTCTATAAAAACATGAAATTGTTACTAATAATAATACTTTTAGAGTGCAGACACTAGAAAAAAGAAAAGTACTCACTAAATAGTGCTACTAGAGCAATAATTTGGTAGAATTTAGCACTATTTATTTATTTTCTTACACCGTTTTAGTGTGTGCACTACATGGTCTAATATCTAGAATATTTTCATAAATTAGAAGAGCAAAAACTAACCCTAGGAAGTCTGTAATCATCTTAATCATTTTGAAGCTATTCAAAATCATTTTCAAGAGAAATATAATGTTTATTCAATAAGTAAAATCATACAGCCTTTTGCAAAAATTATGAGAATTGTTGAAATATCTAAATATCATAATACCCGCGTGTTCCGGACAATATATGGATATGGATATTATGATATTTAGACAATTCTCATAATTTTTGCAAAGGGCTGTATGGTTGAGTATAAAGTCCCATGAAAATATAGTTTGCAAAAGATCTTTGCCTCAGCAAAGTCTGGTTGGATGTTCAGTGATGGCTTTATCTTTCAAAAAGATACAACATCTTGTGAATCAGACATTGTACTTTCTCTTGGAAATGACACCCAATAGCATTGAAACATCATTTAAATGATAACAAACTTTCTAGAGACAGTTTTTACTCTTCAAATTTCATAAAATCCATAAAGTTAGATTTGGTTATCACTACTTGTATTGTGGTTTTAGTTTGKGCACAAAATATAATACCTAATATGTGTTTTTACATTAGCAACACTTTGTTTTCCTTTTTGGATAATATTCTTGTTGATATGATTCATCTGTTGATGGAGGATAATAAACATCCATGGTTGAGCCTCGTCCACCTTGAGACCCGGTGTAAGACAGTGGTGAAATTGAACCATTTAGCAGTATTGAATTTTCTGTGTTTGGGCGAGAAGGTCTTTCAGATATATTTAAAATAGTTTGAACTAGAAACTGCATAGCTCTTTCTGTTCACAAGAAAAAATAGTTGTTTTAGAATTTGAACTTAAATATAAATATAAATAACAGTTTAACAATTACCAATATTCATATCTTCCTTAGCCGATGT